ACTATCATACCTAAAACGGGTGTGGGCACGGGATGTAAATCCGGGGGGGTACTCCCTTCCCCCGGGCACAGATAGGGTCCCCTACCCCAGCGCATGCGGGGCGGCATTTCCGGCGGGTTTACTGGTGAAAAATGTTTCCCCACTATCACTACTCGAATGATCGTCGAGGGGCAATAAAATCCCCAAACCACGTCGAAAACGTCATTTCTGAAGTCAGAGGGCCGGGGCCGGGGGAAAATATTAGTTTTCTCTTTCGTTTTTTAAAACCCGGGCGGTGAGTCAAGGGGTGCCCCACCCGAGGTTGAAGGTCGAGGAACGTCGGGGTTTTTTTGACTATTATCGATATCCCGGTCATTATTTTTGGTTTACTAACTTATCAAAGCGTTTTTTTTCGTCTTCATTTCCAAATTTCCCTCATTTGTCGGGAACCCACAGACAGGAAGAGGGGGGAGTTTCCCCCCTTTTTCCGGGGGGGGGGTGAGAGTGACTTGCGCGAGGCATGGTGAACAAGGGTATGAAGGCCCGGGGTTCCCCCAATGCTTTTTCCGGCGGCCAGAATTTTTTTTTTTACAGGCCCCAGGGCCCCCGACCCAAATTTTCTTTATAGTAGGCCTTTTGAGCACCTTTTGTTTCTTAAAAAATTTGGGGCGGGCCCCAGAATTTTTGGCCCTTGATCTATGGTTTGGACACTCACCGCCAGCCCTGGAAACTACGGGGGGAAAACCCTGAAAGGGTTAATTTTTGTAAGAAAATAATTTTTTTTTTTTAAAATTTTTTGGACACTGGTGGTGCTTCAAATTTTGGGCCCTTGGCCCGAAAGGGTTAAATTGTTCCCAAATAGATGAAATATCAGGAAGGGGGGTGGGGGTGGCATTGTATGTCCGAATCACTTGAACTGTTGCATAAAAACGGGTTTTTAAGTTCTGAAGTAAACAAAACGAGTCTGGGTTTTGGGTGAAATTTTAGAGGGGATGAAAAAAATGTTTTTTTAGTGATATACCCTCCCCCAAAAATTAGATAGGGACCCCAAAGGGGGATACTATGGGAGGAAATTGTTAAGGCCACAAGGCCCGATAATGTAGTAATTTTGGGAACTTTAACTTTTTAAAATTGATTTTGGGAAATTTTTTGACTTTGGGAAATTTTGGAAACATACGATTCTTTGAAGAAGTTAGGATGTTTTTTTTAAGCAGTTTGTGACAGAAAACCCACAAGGGGGGAAAAAAACCCGCTTGAACCTTTAGTTTGGAAACAATGAAAACCCTTTTTAAAATTTAGAAAATTTAGAGGGGAAAAAGGGGGCTAGGGGACCACAAATCAATTTTCATTTAGATTTTAATGGAAGTGAAAGTAGTGGGAAATTTAGAAATAACAGTCCCCCGATTTTTGCTTTGCAAAAACGATGGGCCTTTTGGAAAAAACTTTCATCTGTGACTGGGGGTTAAAGAAGGAGCTATCAATATGACAGTTTTCTGAAAAATTTTACATGTGCTCAAAGAACGTTTTCCCTAAAAAGAAATTTAAAACAAATAGAAATGACCCCCAAAAAGGTTTAAAAATAGGTTTTAAATGGCTACTTGGGGCCCTAAGAAGGAAATTTATAGGTGTATGGAAGAGGCGAGGGTCATTTATGAATTTTGTTTATTGACATTAAGAGGGGGCATTAAAAAGGGGATAAAAAAAAGCTAAAAGGGGGTATGAAAATTTAAAATTTTCTAGGGATTCTAAAACTAAACCCCCAAAAGTTTTTTCCAGGTGTTTTAGAACAAAGTTGAGATAAGTAATCCCCTTTTAAAAAAAAACTATGTGCATTTAAAGACAAAGGAATTGAAATGTGCTCGATTTTAAATAATTATTTTCCTCGGTTTTACCAGGAAGACACTAACAAATTTTCCCGTAATTTTTTTTTATAGTGGGCTAGGGAAAAAGATAAATTTTTGTAACATCACAGTCACTTGTGAAATGGTTGTGAAACAGATAGAAGCTGAAGCAAAATAAGTCGCCGGGGCTTGATGAGGTTTTTTTTTTTGGGTTTTAAGGATTTCAAAAAGGGAAAAATGTGAACCATTAATTTATTTTTAATTTTCTTTTCAAACGGTTTTGTGTTGATATGTGGAAGATGGTAAAAGTAATTCCTTTTTTTAAAACAAAGGGGGACAAGTTGTTACCTGGGTTTACCTGGAAAAGAGTTCCGGGGGTTTAAAGCCCCGCGGCCCCGGGCTTTTGGGCAAGGGCCCCCTGGTGGATCAGGCCTGATCAAACCCGGCTGTTGCTGCTGGTGCACCGCAAACCAACGTACGAGCCACAAACCCGGGGGGAAACAGGAAATGATTTAGGTGCTTGTCAGTGCCAGCTTTAAGCTGAGGGGTTGTTTGGGAAAACCCCCCCATGTGTTTCTTTGGGGGGAGTTTTAACAGTCTCGGGCCCCCCCGGAAAACCCTTTTTGTAGGTCTCTTAAGTGCTTTGTGAACCCCCGCTTTTTATTGGGGGGAAAGGTGATCGTCTGCCAAGTCTTTTGCTTTCGTAGTGAGTGATTTTCGTGTGCAAGTTCGGTACTAGTCCCTCTAGGATTTTCCAGGTGTATATAATCATGTATCTCTCCCTCCTGCATTCCAGGGAATACAGGTTTAGGAACCTCAAGCGCTCCCAGTAATTGAGGTGTTTTATCTCCGTTATGCGGGCCGTGAAAGTTCTCTGTACATTTTCTAGGTCGGCAATTTCACCTGCCTTGAAAGGTGCTGTTAGTGTGCAGCAATATTCCAGCCTAGATAGAAGAAGTGGCCTGAAGAGTGTCATCATGGGCTTGGCCTCCCTAGTTTTGAAGGTTCTCATTATCCATCCTGTCATTTTTCTAGCAGATGCGATTGCCTTATTACGTTACCGTCAAATTACCGCCCAATAAGCCTGACCTCAATTGTAGGCAAATTACTAGAGTCAGTTATTGCTGAGATTATAAGAAGCCATCTCGATAAGCATAGCTTGATTAATGATACTCAGCATGGATTCACAAGAGGCCGGTCTTGTCTAACTAATTTATTAACTTTCTTCAGTAAAGCTTTTGAGGCTGTTGACCACGATAAAGAGTTTGATACTATTTACTTAGATTTTAGTAAGGCTTTTGATAGAGTTCCACACCAAAGACTGTTAAAGAAAGTGGCAGCTCATGGCATTGGGGGAAAAGTGCTCTCATGGATCGAGTCATGGCTCACAGACAGGAAACAGAGAGTGTCCATAAATGGGGTTAAATCCGAGTGGGGATCTGTAACAAGTGGCGTTCCACAGGGATCAGTCTTGGGCCCGTTGTTGTTTATAATATATATCAATGACCTTGATGAGGGAATTACTAGTGATATGAGCAAATTCGCCGATGACACAAAGATAGGTAGGATAATTGATTCAAACATAGACGTTATGGAACTTCAGGAGGATTTAAACAAACTATATTCTTGGTCAGAAAAGTGGCAGATGCAGTTCAGTGTAGATAAATGCAAGGTTCTGAAGCTCGGGAGTGTCCATAACCCTAGCACTTATAAGTTAAATGATGTAGAACTTAGCCATACAGATTGCAAAAAGGACTTGGGGGTTATGGTGAGCAGCAACCTTAAACCAAGACAGCAATGCCTAAGCGTACGTAATAAGGCAAATAGATTACTGGGATTTATATCAAGAAGTGTAAGCAACAGAAGTCCAGAGGTCATACTGCAGCTTTATACATCATTAGTAAGGCCTCACCTAGATTATGCAGCTCAATTCTGGTCTCCATATTACAGAATGGACATAAATTCGTTAGAAAACATTCAGTGTAGGATGACTAAATTAATACATAGCATTAGAAATCTTCCTTATGAAGAAAGATTGAAGACTCTTAAGTTACATTCACTTGTTAGACGAAGAATGAGGGGAGACCTGATCGAAGTGTATAAGTGGAAGATAGGTATTAATAAAGGGGATATTAATAAGGTCTTGAGGATATCTCTCCAAGAGAGAACCCACAGTAATGGATTTAAATTAGATAAGTTTAGATTTAGAAAGGACACAGGAAGGTATTGGTTTGGAAATAGGGTAGTTGATGAGTGGAACAGTCTACCTAGTTGGGTTATTGAGGCTAGGACTTCAAGTAGTTTCAAATTTTGGTTGGATAAGTACATGAGTGGGAGGGATTGGATTTGAGTGGGACTTGCACATCAGAGCTTATTTCTTGGGTAGCATTGAAAATTGGTTTGGTCAAATGTTTTGTTAGTGGGATGAATTGTAAAGGACCTGCCTAGTATGGGCCAACAGGCCTGCTGCAGTGTTCCTCCTTTCTTATGTTCTTATGTAATAGGTTCTAGAACCTCATTCGTTGTACAGATAATCCATTCCAGGCCCCCTGATACAACCACATAACAATGAAAAATATAATAAAAAATTGTAAAAAATGTATAAATGTGCATCTAAACTCTAGAAATAAAGAATACTATTAATACTTGTAATAAAACAAACAAATTAGTACAAAAATAATAAAAAATACTGTATTTTATCCTAGTTTCATGTTGCTGAACTTGCAGGACAGGAGGCAGAGGAGGGAATGTTTATGTAAATATTTGTTGTATAAATTGTTTGTTACAACATACCTCACTGCATGTGGTGTAATCTTTATTTATATTCAACAGCTGCAGAATCAGTAAATAAGAGAAGCATATTTAGAAAGTGAAAAATTTCAGTTGTAGCAACAAGAAAAATTTGGTATTCATAATTCATGATGCCCATGGAACATAAACCTGCAAATTAACCCTTAAACTGTCCAAATGTAGATCTACGCTCATTCGTGTAGTGCTCCAAACATAAATCTACCTTTTTTTACACAAGAAAGCATGTAAAATCGAACATAGATCCACGTTCGGAGCGCCACGTGAGCGAGTGTAGATCTACATTTGGACAGTTTAAGGGTTAACCTTTCTTTATTTATAAAAAATAATTGTCTGTATCAAGTACAATTAAAGATGTTTATCCCAACACAGGGAGAATTACATCCTGTACCCATTGATTACCAACCACAAGCAACTTGCTGCCCGGTCCCACTGCTGGACCACTGACCACAGGCAACATCTTGGCCAGTCCTACTGCTGGACCACTGACTACAGGCAACATCTTAGCCAGTCTTACTGCTGGACCACTGACCACAGGCAACATCTTGGCCAGTCCTACTGCTGGACCACTGACCACAGGCAACATCTTGGCCAGTCCTACTGCTGGACCACTGACCACAGGCAACATCTTGGCCAGTCCTACTGCTGGACCACTGACCACAGGCAACTTCTTGGCCAGTCCCACTGCTGGACCACTGACCACAGGCAACATCTTGGCCAGTCCCACTGCTGGACCACTGACTACAGGCAACTTCTTGGCCAGTCCCACTGCTGGATCACTGACCACAGGCAACATCTTGGCCGGTCCTACTGCTGGACCACTGACTACAGGCAACTTCTTGGCCAGTCCCACTGCTGGACCACTGACCACAGGCAACATCTTGGCCAGTCCTACTGCTGGACCACTGACCACATCACACTCAGTTCCACCGACAGCAAAGTTTCACTCACGGACCATTGAGAATGGTAAGCTAATTTTTATATTTGGATATTTTCACTCATTTATATCTGAAAAGGTAGAGCTCCGGATCTTGATACCTGCCTTTGCTCATCATTTATTTGTAAGGTAATCATTAGATATAAATATTTCTTATAATAATGATATTTTGATTTTACATGATACAGTGGACCCCTGACCAACGAGGGCATCGTCTAACAAAAAAATCGCCCAACAAAGCATTTTAGCGTAAAAATTTTGGCCCGACCAACGATGAAAAACTCGACTAACAGCATTCGTCCCAAAAGTGTCTGCCTGTCTGTCCAGCTGAGCACGCCTCAGCTGTCTTGCCTTCACCTAGTGTGCCATTGTTTACAAGCCAGGGTGGACGGTTTCATGCATACATGCGATATATTTTGTATTATTCCATTGTTTTTAGTGGTTGTAACTGCTAAATAAACCACCACGGGCCCAAAGAAAGCTTCTAGTGCCAACCCTGTGGTAAAAAGGGTGAGAAATGCTATTGAAATACTATCGTACCATGGTCATCTGTTGCTGCACCACCATCAGCTGCTGCTCCTGCACCATCATCAGCTGTTGCTGCACCACTGTCAGCTGCTGCTGCACCACCATCAGCTGTACTACTCGAAGATGTGGAGAGAGTGTTGTTGATGTGGCTTAACGAGAAACAGTCGCTGAGAAACAATCCCGGAGGGTTAGCCACCCAGGATAACCCAAGAAAGTCAGTGCATCATTGCGGACTGTCTAACTTATTTCCATTGGGGTCCTTAATCTTGTCCACCAGGATGCGACCCACACCAGTCGACTAACACCCAAGTGAACAGGAAAAAATACCTTGAACTAGTGCTCATATTGTTGAATTTAAGGACAGCAAAGGTTGGTTTGAGAGATTTAAGAATCATACTGGCATACACAGTGTGATAAGGCATTGAAAAGCTGAAAAATTCCAACCCCAAAAGTGTTCAATTGTGATGAAACAAGCCTGTTCTGGAAGAAAATGCCAAACAGGACCTATATTACTCAGGAGGAAAAGGCACACCTAGGACACAAGCCTATGAAAGACTGGCTAACTCTCATGTTTTATTGTAATGCTAGTGGGGATTGCAAAGTGAAGCCTTTACTCATATATCACTCTGAAAATCCCAGAGTGTTCAAGAGAAACAGTGTCTCATCACTCATCAATACTCTTCAATAAAGGTAAGTGTCATTTTAGCATTAATTTATGCAGTTATTGTTCATATCTCATTGTTTTCTTTGTAGGGAAATGTATATTTCATGAAAAAAAATATTTTTTAATACTTTTGGCTGTCTGGAATGGATTAATTGGATTTCAATTACAGTGGACCCCCGCATACCGGACGCCTTGCATAACGGACAATCCGCATACCGGACGCTTTGATCGCTAAAATTTTGCCTCGCATACCGCCCAAAAACCCGCTCAGCGCCCTTCGTCCGAGACGCGTCCAATGTGCGGCCTGAGCCACGCTCACATGTTCCGCCGGTGGCATTGTTTACCAGCCAGCCTCCGCGGTAACATCCAAGCATACAATTGGAACATTTCGTATTATTACAGTGTTTTTGGTGATTTTTTTCTGGAAAATAAGTGACCATGGGCCCCAAGAAAGCTTCCAGTGCCAACCCTACAGCAATAAGGGTGAGAATTACTATGGAGATGAAGAAAAAGATCATTGATAAGTATGAAAGTGGAGTGCGTGTCTCCGAGCTGGCCAGGTTGTATAATAAACCCCAATCAACCATCGCTACTATTGGTGGTACAGCTGCTGCTGCTGCTGTACCACCGTCAGCTGCTGCTGCACTGTCAGCTGCTGTGCTGTACCACCGTCAGCTGCTCCTGCTGCTGTAGTACCGTCTGCTGCTGCTGTAGCATCGTCTGCTGCTGCTGTAGCATCGTCTGCTGCTGCTGTAGCATCGTCTGCTGCTGCTGTAGCATCGTCTGTTGCTGCTGTAGCATCGTCTGTTGCTGCTGTACCACCGTCAGCTGCTGCTGCTGCTGTAGCATCGTCTGCTGCTGCTGCTGCTGTAGCATCGTCTGCTGCTGCTGTAACATCGTCAGTTGCTGCTGTAGCATCGTCTGCTGCTGCTGTAGCATCGTCTGTTGCTGCTGTAGCATCGTCTGTTGCTGCTGTACCACCGTCAGCTGCTGCTGCTGCTGTAGCATCGTCTGCTGCTGCTGTAACATCGTCTCAGTTGCTGCTGTAGCATCGTCTGCTGCTGCTGTAGCATCGTCTGTTGCTGCTGTACCACCGTCAGCTGCTGCTGCTGCTGCTGTAGCACCGTTGTTGGTGTGGCTTATTGAGAATACCAAGAAACAATTAACCCCAGAGGATTTGCCACCCAGGATAGCCCAAAAAAGTCAGTGTCATCGAAGACTGTCTAACTTATTTCCATTGGGGTCCTTAATCTGTCTCCCAGGATGCAACCCACACCAGTCGACTAACACCCAGGTGAACAGGGAAAATGCCTGGAACTATTGCTCATATTGGTGAATTTAGAGCCAGCAAAGGTTGGTTTGAGAGATTTAAGAATCGTAGTGACATACACAGTGTGATAAGGCCTGTTCTGGAAGAAAATACCAAACAGGACCTACAGTACTCAGGAGGAAAAGGCACTCCCAGGACACAGTGTCTCATCAGTCATTGCTGCATCTTCAATAAAGGTAAGTGTCATTTATTCTTCATTTAGTAGAGTAGTACATGCACAATATATATTGTGCATGTACTACTCTACTATTGTGCATGTATCCTTCTCTTTGTGTGTAGGAAAATGTATATTTCATGTGGTAAAATTTTTTTTTTCATACTTTTGGGTGTCTTGCACGGATTAATTTGATTTCCATTATTTCTTATGGGGAAAATTCATTCGCATACCGAACATTTCGCATAACAGCCAGCCCTCTTGCACGGATTAAGGTCGCTATGCGGGGGTCCACTGTACTTCTTATGGAGAAAATTAATTCGACTAACGATAAATTCGCCTAAAGATAAACTCTCTGAAACGAATTAATATTGTTGGTCGAGGGTCCACTTTACATGTTTGTACAAAGGAGAATAATAGTTGGGTGTACATGCCAAAAGCCCCTTTGTATGCAGAGCATTTCGGGCAAGCTTAAAATTAACTTAAGATTAATAAGACAATAACAGCTCATATGGTCATTAGATGAGTTACAATGAATACAAGAGAATTGAGTATCCTGTTGGGTAATGCTATGTGGCTTTAATAATTCTAGTAGAGAAGACGTACAATTTTAATTACAGTGGACCCTCGGTTAACGGCTGTTCCTGTTATCAGCCAACTTTGTGATCGGCCAGTTTTTCGGCTCCCAGTGATCGGCCATTATTTTGGTGATCAACCATTGGGGACCCATCCATCCACCAGCTGGGGCCACTTGCGCATCAGTTTGGCTGTGTCTCTCGGTGCATGAGGAAGCTTCTGTTCATACATCCAAACATTTCGCTTGTTTTCCATTGTTTTTGTGTTTTTTTTGCAGTGCAACTGCAAAATAAGTAACCATGGCTCCAAAGAAAGTTCCTGTGGTAAAAAAAGTGAGAAACACCATCGAATTTAAAGCATGAAGTGATTGAAAAATGTGAGAGTGGTATATGGGTGCTGGAACTTGCCAGGATGTATAGGTAAAACAAATAAACAATTACATCTATCCTGGCAAAGAAAGAACAAATCAAGGATACTAATGTTGCAAAAGGAGTAACTTTTCTAATGAAACAACAGTCACCAATAATGGAACAGATGGAAAAGTTGTTGTTATTGTGAATTAAGGAAAAACAATTAGTGGGAGACAGTGTTATGGAATCTATTATTTGTGAGAAGGCAAGGCTGTTACATGAGGAACTTCTACGGAAAACTCCTGGAACAAGTGCTCCTGGTAGTGAATTTTTTAGGGCCAGCAAAGGCTGGTTTGAGAGATTTAAGAAGTGTAGTGGCATGCACAGTGTTGTAAGGCATAGAGAGGCTACAAGTTCTGATAAATGTGCAGCTGAAAAGAATGTACAGGAATTCAAGGACTTTGTAAAGGTTGAAGGATTCAAACCCTAACAAGTGTTCAATTGTGACAAAACAGGCCTGTTTTGGAAGGAAATGCCAAACAGGACCTACATGACACAGAAGGAAGAAGCACTGCCAGGACACAAGCCTGTGAAAGACAGGCTTACTCTTTTGTTGTGTGGTGATGCTAGTGGGGATTTCAAAGTGAAACCTTTACTGGTGTATCACTCAGAAAATCCCAGAGTGTTCATGAAAAGCAATGTTGTCAAGAATAGATTGTGTGTGATGTGGAAAGCTAAACATAAGGCATGGGTCACAAGGTAAATTTTCAGAGTGGATTATTGATGTGTTTGGCCCAAGCGTGAAAAAATATCTCCTGGGAAAGAAATTGCCACTCAAGTGCCTCCTGGTACTGGACAATGCTCCTGCACATCCTCCAGACTTGGTAGACCAAGTGTTTAGGGACTTCAGGTTTATAAAAGTGAAGTTCTTGCCTCCTAACACTACTCCTCTCCTCCAGCCCATGAACCAGCAGGTCATTTCTAACTTCAAAAAACTCTATACAAAAGCAGTGTTTCAAAAGTGCTTTGAAGTGATCTCAGACACTTGGTTGACCCTAAGAGGGTTCTGGAAGAATCACTTCAGTATCCTCAATTGCATAAGCTTTATAGGTAAGGCTTGGGAAAGAGTGACCTCCAAGACTTTGAACTCTGTTTGGAGAAAATTGTGGCCAGGTTGTGTCCTATAGAGGGATTTTGAAGGGTTTGAGGCTGACCCTTACCCTGCCAACCCTGTGGACTCTATTGTAGCACTGGGGAAGTCCCTGGGGTTGGAGGTGAGTGGCAAGGATGTGGAAGAGTTGGTGGAGGACCACAGGGATGAGCTAGCCACTGAAGAGCTGTAAGAGCTTCAACTCAAACAGCAACAGACTGCAGCTGAGGAACTTGCTTCAGAGGAGGAGGAAGAGGGAGTGAAGGAGGTGCCTTCT